CTTGGCTTTCCATGCCTTTTTACACCTCCCTTTCTTCATGAGTTCAATATTTTTTCCCTGTGCCATTCCACATTATTACAAACATTTATGGTTTGATTTCTTTGTATGTATGGATCACTTGGGTTGTTACCAACATCTGGTGAAAATTTCATGTCATTAGCACCTCTAGTAATACATTTACTGAGAAAAATGGTGACGTGTTCAATACTTATTTTACCCGCTGTATGCAGCTAAAACAGGAAGCCTGGTGCATCCTAAATGTTTCAGCATTAATGTTTTAAAGTAACATTATAGTCATTAAGGGCTTTAGAAAACTGTTTTTTCAGGAGGTCACCTCCCTATAAATGTCATTCTGGAAATTCTTACCGTTCAAATTTACTCAGTGCTTTTACTTTCAACACTTAAAGAYATTTTATATCAGGAATTTRCTTTTATACACTTACATACTTTATACGGGTTATACATTTTATACTRTGGATGAGGACATGGATTGTAACGTAAAGTGTTTTGAGTATCCTGCTTGGATAGAAAGGCAYTATATAAGTACAGTCTATTTACCATTTATTGGTAATGTATGCATACAAAACAATAGTTTAGGTCTTGAGTCTGCATTGCTTACTTTTTGTGTCTTATGGGGTCCCCCAAGGCTCAAATGTGGGGCCAATATTTTTTTGTTCTATTCTGTTTAGCACAGATGTTTTTTACGTTTTAAATCTTTTTCTCCGTCCTGATTTAAAACCAGAKATAGCATCTTTTAAGTGTTTGCATCTTGACTGTGAAATGAGATTCTTTTGTTTTTACATTATACTGATTAATTCCTTTAAAGAGACGCTGAGGACTGTATTCAAACACGATTCTAATCAAAGTTTTTATGACAGTAATATCTTCTCTGCAGCCTTTAATGTCAGAGTGTTTTATTGGTATTTCTTTTATATTTTATTCATTGTTTAAATGTGATGACAAAAKAAGTCATTTATAAGCCAATCATCTCTGTGCACAGTATCAGATTCCAGGTAGTGAGCAACCCATCTCTTTGCTGTTTCAAAGGATCTGTCAGCTTGACAGGCTCCATTTTGGCTTCCTGCTGTAGAGACTTAAATTATTCACTGAAGCATTTTGCTTCACACTTCCCCACATCCTTTCATAGCATGTGAGAGTATAGTCATGTATATTTGTGTGAGAGTGTGTGTGTGTGTGTTTTAAGGAAGAGGAGGGAGAGGGAGGACCAGGTGTCTGCTGAGATCAGTGTACGGTACACACAGACGTCTCGTCTCGTCGACAGAGCTGCAGGGAAGGAAAGGCGAGAGTCGGTGGTGGGGGATAAAGGAGGAGGAGAGGAGGAACGGGGGAGAACTAGAATGGATGAGACAGGGTTGTTGCCCGAGGAAAGGGACGTGCAGAGAGGCAGGGTGATGGAAGAGACGATTGGTGTTGTGATGGAGGGTTAACAGCAGGTAACAGAGGGCAGAGCAGATGAAAGTGGTTGTGGAGATAAGTGAGGCCAGAGAGAAAATGAAGGTTTCCAATTAATGAAAAAACAGATAGAAGCAACAGTGTGATAATGATGAGATAAAGAATAGATATGAAGGATTGACAGGTAGATACTGTGGTGCCTTTAGACAAAAGGACRAGCGTTAACTTTCAATTTTCTTGGCTGAACTTTCTCCTTCTTCTGTTTCTTTCACCTCCACAGTTCACCTTTATCTAGTTATTTTTACTTTGTAGCTTCTTTTGACCACCTGCAGCTCTCTGTGTGGGCAGAAACAAAAAAATCTACACAAAAACGTGTGGATTCTCAGAAATGGTTCATAAATCTGCCAAATGTAGCGCAAGCATGAAATATAATCTCATCAAAATGTTTCTTAAACTAATGATCTGCATGGATTTCAGATTGTRATCTTGCACACATGGGTTGCAATTGCATTTGTTGGAAATAATCGAAATGTTTTGTCTTATTTGTGTCACTGCTGTTTGCTCAAGACATCCCATAATACAAAAGCAGTCTCACTGGTCTGTGACTGTTGACAACAAGTTGGTGAACAGCATCCACAAGGGCGAGACTAAATCTATRCATTTTCTCTCAAAATAGCGAGCACAGACATGTCCAACCCCCTCACTTTTATTTCTGTAAATTTTAGAGTTATGGGATGTCTGCAGCTCTCCTTTGACMGAAAACATCTCAGTCTACAACCCCAGATGTCCATATCTAAAAACCACACTGATTAGCCTTGTCCGAGTTAGTCCAAGTCAGTAGAATATGCTTTCAAAAATACTTTCAAATCACATTCTGCTTGTCCAGGATTACAAATGGGTCCATCCTCTGTACTGATGTTTTATTTGATCAGCAGACATCTCTTTACTAGGGGTGTAAGAAAATATCGATACACTGAAATATCGCGATATTTCATTTCCCGATACTGTATCAATATTCTAAAGCCCTGTATCGATTTTTAATTAAGGTTTAACACTAGAACTACCCGAGAGGGGCCAAGTGAGAATCTTCCTCTAAGTACCAGAGAGGGGCCAAGTGA